TTAGTCCAAACGACATAACCAAAAACTCATAGTGTCCATATCGGGTTCTGAATGCAGTCTTCTCTATATCCTGCTCTCTTACTTTTAGCTGATGATATCCTGACCTCAAGTCGATCTTTGAGAAATAACTTGAACCTTGTAGCTGATCGAATAGGTCATCAATCCTCGGCAACGGATATCTATTCTTTATTGTTGCCTTATTCAGCTCTCGGTAATCAATGCACATCCTCATGCTTCCATCTTTCTTCTTTACGAATAACACCGGAGCTCCCCAGGGTGATGAACTAGGTCTAATGAAACCTTTGCCAATAACTCCTGAAGTTGCATCATTAGCTCCTTCATCTCCGTCGGTGCTAATCGATAAGGTGCTTTTGCAATTGGCGTTGTTCCGGGCAACAAGTCAATACGAAATTCTACTTGTCGATCGGGCGGTAATCCAGGAAGATCTTCGGGAAATACTTCCGGATAATCACACACAACAGGAATATTTTGCATCACCTTCTTTTCCTTCTTAGCATCGATCACGAATGCTAAGTATGATGTACACCCTTGGTCAAACATTTTCTGGCTTTCATTAGAGAAATGATTCCAGAATTTACTCTGCGTTTATCTCCATACACCATAAACGATTCCTTTCCAGGCGGATTCACTTTCACTATTTTCTTCTTGCATAAAATTTCGGCATCATTGGCACTAAGCCAATCCATTCCCAAAACGATGTCGAAACCATTAAGTTCTATAGGTAATAATTCCTCGTGGAACTTATTCCCATTCAAATCAATTAAAATGTTTTTCATACGATGGCTAACAGGTACAATCTTGCCACTAGCAACTTCGACTAATAAAGCATTATCTAGTCTCACAATAGGCAAAGCTAGTTTTCTACCAAATTCATGCGATATAAAGGAGTAGTTGGCTCCAGAATCAAATAAAATTTGGGCAGGCAATTTGTTAACGAGAAAGGTACCTGAAGCGACATCAGCTTCATCTTTAGCAGCTTCCAGTGTCATCTGGAATGCTCTCGCCTTTGGCTTTGGCGGAATGTTGGGTCTTGCTGCCTCCTTCTTCTTCGGACAATCCCTTGAGATGTGCCCCTCCTCACCGCAACCATAACAAACATTCTTGGTGAAGGTGCATTCGTTGGCATAATGCCCTGGCTTTCCACATTTGTAGCATGTGGTTTCCCCGCCACACTTCCCATGATGCTTCTTCTTGCACTTGTCGCACCATTTCGCCTCTACCTTTCCTCCACTTCCTCTCGAACTAGACTTCGAGAATTTACTTTTCTTGCTGGACCCTGAAAATCCATCGATTTTCCTTTTCTCACCAACCTCTGACCTTTCTAGACCTTTTTCCCTGATCTGGGTCTCAACATTTCTAGCAGCCCAGATGGCGGCTTTCAATGTGGTTGCTTGCTTAACCATTGGACCATAGTCCGCTGGTAGTCCAAGGGCAAACTTGTTGACCTTAGAGAGTTCTGTAGGCACCAAATATGGGATAAACTTCATCTTTTCCGTGAAACTTGTAGCGTATTCAGTAACGCTCAATTTCCCTTTCTTCAAATTCTGAAACTCATTACTGATTTCCAGAAGGTCCTGCTCGGAGCAGTATTGCAGTTTTAGTTGTTCCAGAAAGTCTTCCCAAGACATTTTGCTTGCTTCTCCCTTGGGCATAGAGTCAGCTAACAGCTTCCACCAACTCAACACGCCAGATTTTAGCAGAGGGATCGCAAGAGCGGTCTTCTGCCTGTTGCTGCATTCGCAACTTTCAAACATAGTCTCCATTTCAGAGACCCAGTCCATAACTTGTACCGGCGTCGGGCTTCCGGATAGGCATGGTGGTTTGGATGCCATGAAATCCTTATACTTGCACCCACGACCATCATTTCCTCCATACTGGTTATTGCGTCTAACCACTGGTTGTTCGTCTTGACCAATGATCCCACTAAAGTTTTCTCCTTCAGACTGCCCTCCATTCTCCTCGGGCTCTTCCGCTTGAATTGACGGTTCTTCACGATTCTGCCTAAGCAGGCGTCTTGTTTCTTCCATCTGACGATCCAACATCATTTGAATCATCATTTGTACACCAACCATTGTTATCGGCTCAGGTGCAGCAGCTACGACAGGTACTTGCTCGATTACAGGCGGTTGATTCCTGTTTTCATTAGCATTTCCAACTCCGCTTCTTGTTCTCACCATTTTGATCTATACACCGAATAATTTCACCTTATTACTCCAAACGATTACATGCTAGTTCTAATATCGTACATATACGCTTAGAATCCTAAACACATAAACCTTCAGATCCGGTTGGCAATAAACCGTAGATCCGAACAAATAATATCATATATGGCAACATATAACATTTAGCACATAAAAGCATTTTAGGCAACTTTCCTAAAATAAACTAGTGCTTGTGTCTAAAATCCAACACACACACCTCGCAATCTCCACTTGGCATCCTAAGTTTAAGTTTAGAAATCCTACAAATTCCTAATTCGCTAAAACTAATGCTCTGATACCAACTGTGACATCCCCAAAATCTCGGCCAGAAAAGACCGATTTCATTTATGCTTTTTAAAATAATTTTCAGAGTAAATCCTTTTAATTTTAAAAGAGATGCGGAATTTGTTCCCAAAAACAAAACATGATAAAATAGATATTTATCAAAACATTTCATAAAGAAATATGATTTCATTTCATAATCAAAAGTCGGGATGTCATGTTCCGATACAGATCATAAAGCATAAACGATAGCATTACAAGTCATTCAACAAATATATACATATACAGACTTGTAAACAAAACAACTTGATGTTCGCCCATCTTAAGCTCTTGCGCCACTTCCTGTAAAATAAATCAACTGAGTGGGTCAGGCTTGGGAGCCTGGTGAGCATATAGGGTTTTCAACCCACAATAATTATATTTAATTTCAACAATCAACAATAAACCCGATTACCCATTCCCGTTATCCTCACCTTACGTTCCTAAAAATAACGTCTATTATAAGGAACCTATTTCAGGATTTTTTCATCGGGACGGACATTACTGCAGAGGGGCTTCCTCAACAATAAGTGTCCTAAAGGCAACCATGTGGGGGATAGAGTACACCGGTGAACACGTCGTTCACAACACCTACAGGTAATGAGCCTGCTAGTGTTCCACATGACAGTCTAGAATAGTCTGTGGTCGTCATCCATACTCTGCTGAATGACTAGAATAACACCAATAACACCGAGGCCTCTCATCTGTTTATTACACACCAATTATCTACCCATGTTCTACCCAACATATTAGTAGATAAAAATATACATTTTTATACATAGTTTAAAAACCTGTATAACATGCTTTAAGCAATACATATTCCACATAACAGATGAGGCATACACACATAACACGTATTTCATAGAGAATACATCATATCTATAAGATAGAAGAGAGTGAATATACACTCACACGTATAACAACCAAATATATACACCTAACACGTATTTTATATGAAATACTTCATAATATTGCGTTGGAAAGAAAATAACTACACACTCACTTGATCAGAAGATGATCGGGCAGCACTACGTCTTGCAGAAGAGGTGTTTCTCCGTATATCTGGAAGATCTTCACAAAACCGGGCTCCTCGCGGGCAGCGTTTCGGCTCGGGAATAACGCTCTTCGGGATCCTCGGGGCTTCGGATATTAATTCGGGGCTCGGGAATATTACCGGGGCTTTGGGGTATAAACAACACGCAAAACGAGGCAAAACTTAGAGAGAGGGAAGAGTTTGAACAAGAGAAAATGGCTGAATTCGAGTTCTATTTATAGGCTGCTGGGTCTGGGATTACGCGGGGCGTACTCAAATTACGCGGGGCGTACTCGGGTTACGCGGGGCGTACTTTGACGTCACTGCGTGCGTCGACTGGTGGCACTCGAGTATTGGTCAGACAAGTTGCATCCGACTGAGTACGCGGGGCGTACACAAATTACGCGGGGCGTAATTGACTTGTCAAACTTCTAAATTGCGTAACTTTCGCATACGAGCTCCGTTTTCGACGTTCTTTATATCCACGCGAAGGTCAGACCATACTCTACAACTTTCATTTAGATCGCTAAGGCTAAATATCGCTCTATCTTAAATTCATATTTTACGTCACTCGGCGTCGTGTTGGTTCTGTCGCGAAACTTCGACAGGTCATAACTTCTTCGTTATAACTCGGATTTTGGCATTCATTATATCCCCGGAATCCTTGTTTCGACCACTACAACTTTATGCAAAGATGTCGGGCTTATCTCACACTTAAATTTTGACGCTTATTTTATTCTTAATTTATTAAATTATAAAAATTAAGAAAATACACACATAAATCACATAATTCAAATAATTCACAAATAATACATTCTTATTATTTCAAGTTGAGTTACAAGGTTAACCTAGACTATTACATTGCTAAAAATGGCAAGCCTAGAAACACGGGTGTTACATGCGCGTCAAGGAAGGCCCTGTCGTAAAGAGAGACGACGCGCTTTTGCGCGTCGTGTATAGACGACATGCATTTACGACTCACGTTTACGCCACACAATGCGTATCAAGGAAGGCCCTATCATAAAGGAAGACGACACACATTCGAGTGTTGTAACTTTACGACGCGCGTGTTAATGACACACAATGCGTATCAAGAAAGCCCCTGTCAAGAAAGGCCATGTCATAAATGAAGATGACACACATTTTTGCGTATCGTAAAGTTAAATGTTTAAAAAAAATAAATTTATATATTTATTAATTTTTAAATTAAATTTTCATTTAATTTATCATAATAGAAATAAAATACCATATACAAAAAATACAATCCATTGCATAATATAAAATAAAATAAATTGCACAAATTATAATGTCATACAAAGAATCATTCAAATGTTAAACAAAAATAACACATTGCTAACATGGGTTATACATTCCTATAAAACTAACAAATAATCATACAACTCTGTTTCTTACTGGAAAGGAATGCCAAACATGATTACAAATCTCCCTTAATCTTTGATTACTCACCTACTTAAGTAGAATGTTGTTGTTGAGAAGGTTACCTAGCAACAGATAAAAACACAACACCTCTCCCACAATCACAAAATCATTTACAGAAAAAGGGTTGTCAATTGCTTTCATTAAGACTTTCATTCAATCACAAAAATATTAAATAAAAGTGTGAAAAAAATAATTACTTTTGATAAGTTGATCTCCTTTAGATCAAACACAGCTAAAGAATCGAACAAGACCCTAGGTCCTTCTTCTAATGTAAACACAATGCTCGTCTGCAAAATTGAGGCGATAAAATAAAATTTGAATATTGTTTGGGTAGTTTATATATGATTTGATAATTTGATTTAAAATACAATAAAATAAATTATCTTTTTTGTTACCTTATGGGGCTTGTCAATTCCTGGGATTATAGGTTCTCTTGCTAGTATTAGAAAACGAGTTATGTTATCTAAATCATCCTAAACATTCAATATAACAATTGTAAGACAAAAGGAGAAATGTATATTTGAAAATACTATGAGATGTGATTTTTTTAATGTTATCAATCCATAAATTAAGCGCATCAAATAGTTATCTATCTTTTCTAAAAACTATTATAGGGGTATAATGACCGAAATGCCCTTGTATTTGTATACATGTTTACAAATATAACTTTAATAACTAGGTGACACCTGGATTGTTTGTGCTAGAATATCAAGCCCAATTTCAATAGCTCGAGAACTTGCAATTGCTCTAGTGTCTCGTATGGATTCTGAGGCTACAATCTATTAAAAAAACTCTTAACAAATTTTAAACAAAGAAAAAAACACAATATTAAAACTTTAAACACAAGAATCAGCAACTAGTTTCATTTACCTATCCATAGTTTTAGTTTATAGTAATCAAAATATAATAATAAAGAAAAAATTTGAGAAGAACTTACTGCTTCTACCATCAAACAATGAGTCAGCACTAGCTTCCCATTTATCTTGAATTGAATATATTCCCTTCTGTAAGAAATTTAGAGCCTTAACCACCTGTACATGTATAAAGCACATGTATCAACGCATAAGCATGTGAAAAAGACTGAAAAATTGAAGTGGGTATAAGGATAAAGGATTATATAGTATAGTTACTCGTTCTAAAGGTAAGAAGAACGCTAAAGCACTTGAAGATTTTCTTCCAGCATTTAAGGCAACAGCTCGTCCTTCCCAATCAACGACTGGGGACCCACTTGAACCACCTTTGGTTCCTAAAGCTGATTGTCATAAACAAAGAAATTAATAAAAATTAATAACAAACCTGAAGCATTGATCACGAGTAGCAATGACAACACTTGAAAGGTTTTCATCAACTAAAGCCAAAGGTCCATGTTTCATTTCAACACCATTTGTTATAACTTAAATCAAAATATTGGATAAATTCAGGAACTTGTTTCGTTGGATGGAATAGAATGACCACTAGAAAATAATATAATAATAAACTATCCAACATCAACTTTCTTGATGCATGAGCAAAAGAAGAGTGAAAAGCTTCTGATGGAAAGTTTTATTTATGGACACCGGATCGATGATGCCCAGATTTTCAAAAGGCATAGAAAAAAAATAAGAAGTGAGAAGTGAAGGGCATCTTGATGTGCTTAAGCTTATATTCGTACCCAAAAAGAAATCTTGATGATGACTTTTTTACCCCTATGGATTCTGTTGCAAAATTTTCAGCCAATGTTTTGGTAAATCTAGTTGGTACCCATTAGAAAAGAGGAGTGTCGCTAAAGAGTATCTCATCTAGTAATTAACAGTGAATGCAAAGTTCATCATTTACATACAAGGTTCATCCCTGCATTGAGAGAGGATGGAATAGACAAGTGTTAGAAACTACCACATATGGGGTAAAATGGTAATTTATTCAGCATACATTGTAGATGATCTAATTGAAGCTTTACCTTAATAGATGGTCTTGGAAGTTTTAAAAGTGATTACTATATTGGAAGTGCACTGGTTTTATCAGAAAAGGACATGAGTACAAACAAGATGAAAACTTTTTTATAAATTGCAATTTGTCAATATGTTGACCAGCTTACTTGTCATTGTTGACTAAAGATCCAATATAACAAACTTGCATTACGCCTGTAGACAGGAACTAGGTGCAGTTAACAAAGGAAACAAGAAGAAAACATCTAGGGATGAGAGAACACCAATCGAGCACTTTTTGGAATGAGAAAGCCTGATTCTTGAAACAATCTGACCAAGGGAATGTTTGCTCCATGTCTCAGAGGAAGCGTCTTCTGTATCCAAATAATCAGCGAGAAGTGCCAAGGCCTGAAACAAAACAAAATCAAATGACAACCAACAACCAACAAGAAGAAGTCGGAAAGAATACTGCATTTATTAACTCAGGTACTACTATGATAAACAGAAATACATGGACTTGCATTTGCAAAAATTTGATATACTCAATTGCATCACCTAGAATACTTGCTTTCTCTCTCTCTGTAGTTGATGTAAGTTTAGTTCCAAAACAGAAAAGGGGAAAAGAACAAAAAAAAAGACCCCAAAAAACAACGGAAACAAATTTTGTCATCACCTTGTTGCAATTGGGAAAAAGTGTCCAGAGGGTTCTTATTTAATCAGATAGAGAGTAAGAACTTCTCATTTAATCAGATAATTAACATAAACTGTGTTAGGATGATTATGTTCCTTGAAGAAGTAACACTTGAGTAATACTTCTGTAAGAACTTCTCAACCAATGTAACCATGTTTCTAAAAAAGAAATTTAAGAACATACCTAGTTTCACCTGACAAAATTTAGTTTAAATGTTGCTTAGTTGTGATAATCTACAGCCTAAAAAGAAGGAATGCTCACAAGAATGATCCCTAGCTACCATGTCTGAAAGAAGACCGTTTATGAAATTATCCGATATCTCATGCATGTAAGATTTTAATCTCTCCATCAATGTTTTTGTCTTCTCGACTATCTGAGAAAACTAGAAAAAGATATTTCATATTGAGTAAATATATAATTTGAAAAGATACAAAATTGATAGCGAAAGATAGTAATATATCATACTTGCACATGATGATTGGGTGATTTATCGGTGTATGGTGACCCAACATCAGAACCAACTGACGATCCCTTCTGATTGTAAGCACTTCTACTCACAGGAAACAAATCGTCTTCTCTGTTACCACTCTATACGAATGATTTCTTGTAAAAATATGGTTGTGACAGCTATTATAAAACTTTATGATTTTGTAAGAAATTAAAGATAAAGAACCTTATCCTTGACTTCTGACAACATGTATCGAAGATTGCTCTTGTGGAAACAAATCATCTTCTCCGTTACCCTCCTTTTTCATCACTAACCTGTTTCCATTTTTCAAAAATTCAAAATCATAGAAACCAATATTATATACAATCGCCAAGAATGAGTTATATATATATATATATATATATATATATATATATATATATATATATATATATATACATACATACATACATATCAAAAACAGACTCTTCATGAAAGAGACTAAATTAATTTACATTACATCATTAGTTACCTTTTCCATATTCACAATATACCCTCTAATTTTCTTAAACTCGTGCCTGTACACATAAATCAATAGATCAATAGCACTCTGATCAAGAATGATAAAAATTCAGAATTTGGACTTTTGATACACTTTTTTGGTAAACTCTAGCAATTTTTCATCTTTGTATTTGGTCATCATCAAAATTTCCTTGAAGCAAAATAGTTAAAATGAAAAGGCATTCAATCCTTAGGAATTTCCAAGGTTGGCATAGGCGGAAGGAAATCATTTCTACAGCTTTCTACTAGAGTTATTTCAATTAAAGGTATACGAAGAAGCATGTAATGTAGGAGAAAAACGTACAATTGTCTCATGGTCTTTGGAATTTCTAAATCTTCTTGTTCTTTGCTGGTTCATTTTGGCTTTTGTAATAACCGAAAGTCTTTAGATGTGAAGAAAATTTCTCACCTTTTTTGAAGGTAGTTGACCTATGAAAATGACGTTCTTAGCATCATCGATTCTTTCTATAGCCAGATCACTGTCAATGTGAAGAAAAGAAAGAGTGAATGTGAGCACTTGATCTTATAAAATCACATATTCAAGACCCTTTCGTAAGATCCATTAAGACAAAGAAATCATAGCTAAAAAACTTTCTCAGAGTAAAATCAGCGAACAATTATGGGGCATACCTTTTCACGCGTTTGTTCTTTGAAGCAATTAATTCCATTTTCACCTCAGGCGCTTCAAAAGCAACTGGAATATGAAGATAAAAACACGAGTTGCCCTGGCCCCAGCTTTAAAAAATCCTTAGTGAGACTCCAATCCCCAAAGCGAAGAACACATAATCTGACAAAATTAACAAGCATTCTAACAGAAACGCCAAACTTATATATCAAAATCATGCGACATATGCTGAAAGAAGGCTGGGGACGGGGATCTAGGGTTCAAGATAGTGAAAGAATGATATAGTGATTTGATGTATGGATGCACGGTGCAGTGGATATCGAGAGAATGAGAATCTTGAGCATCAAATCTTGTGATGACGGTGGAGGTCGTGAAGCTATGAAACAACGGTGAGGGTAAGAAAGGAACCAACTAGAAATCACTTTTCTGGTAGCAATCTCCTCCAGATGGTTGTGAATGAACCCCTACAAACCAGCTTCGAAAATATCATCATATTTCACTGCGAACTCTAAATGAAGCACTCGATGTAGGGAGGGGGAGAAAGAGCGGCCGTGGTTATGGGGAAAAGAACACGCCTAGGGCAAATGAGGGGAAAAGAGAGCGGGTTTTCTAATTTTTTTGGATTTTCTTTTCCCGCTGTATTAGTTGCTAAAGAGGAGCCACGCGTTTGTAAAATTATAAAGCGACATTTATAGTGGACGCGTTTAAGATAAGCGCCCTCCGTGTTTTCTTTTATGATACACTAAATTAACAGCGCGCAAAAATACGTATTCTAAATCCTATAAATTTAAGGAGAACTGACATTATTTTTAAGACACGTGCTTTTGCGTATCGTAAATCTAAGCGTGTCGTGGTTTGCGCGTCATTAAAGGGCTATTTTCTAGTAGTGCCAGTTGCGCATAGTGACTTCAAGTCCGTGATTCATGGACTAAAGAAATGTTGTATGACATATGCCTTCACATCCAGTCCATTAATCTATCAAGATCTTGTGAAGCAGTTCTGGAACACAGCTGCAGTGTGCAAAGAAGATGATGATGATGCAATCTCCTTAGAAGCAACTGTCAATGGAAGGAAGATCTCTATAACTGAGCAAGTCATCCATGAGGTTTTCCAGATCAATGACCAATATGGATTTCCAAATGAGATCTCCATGAACCAGACTGAGGAGATCATCCTTCGAATGGGCTATAAGGGTGTGTTTCGTCTTACAATCAAGAAACTTTTGCCACCCTATTGGAGGTTCCTGGTCCATGTGTTTGTGAGTTGCGTCTCCGGAACGAGATCTCGTTATTAAAAATGGGTGCCATTGCTGTTTTAGCTACGTGTATCGACTTCAACTTTTCGAGATACACCTTGAATGAAATGGTTGGCAACGTTGAAGAAAAAAGGAAAGATAAATTTCTCATGTTTCCGAGGTTCCTACAGATGATCTTCAACAACAAACACCATGAACTTGAGAAAAGAGGAGAAACACTTGATTTGAAGTCTATTGGTTCTAGTACTTTCGGGCTCATGAAGCAAAATAGAAAAGGAAGGTTCATGTTCCAGGTGAAATATCCATTGGTGAAATTTGGCCAATTCGTAGAAGTCAGTAATTCGTCGAAGATTGAAAGCTTCTCAACTCATGAAGAAACTAAAGATGAAGTAATTACTGCTTCTGAACACGAAGAGGAACGTGTTTATCCAGTGGCAATAATTGCCAAAGAGCATGTGCCGATAACATTTGAAGAAGAAAATGATGATGAGAGTGATTTTGATATGAGCTTAATGGAGAATGTTGTAAATGAAGATGATATGGATCAGGGTGAAGATTTAACCGGTTGTAATAATAATGATCTTATCTTCAGTTTTGAGTAGGATCAAGATATAAGGTTGAGCACTAATGACCTTGATGCCTTCTTCGACAACGTCAATGAAGTTGCACAATCTGCAATGGATACAGAAGGAGATGATAATGTTCTTAAGACAACGCCTCCTACTTCAATACAGATGGTCGATCCTTCAAATGTTATGGATTCAACTTTAAGGATTCCTCTCCTTCCTGTTGACATTCCAACTTCATTTCCATTTGATAGTGATCTAGATCTGACACAAGCCTCCCAACCTCCAGTTAAACAGAGAAGAGTTGATCCCATGTCGGGAGTGTTAGTAAGGGAATAGGCACCACAAGTTCAACAATCCACCATAGCTGCTACACCTACTCCACCAACCTAATAAGTCCTAAGTGTTTTACGACCTTCTTATGAAGCTGGGAGCTCTTTAGCTCCTGGGGGTTCCTCCCCTCCAATGCCTGCGCATGATGCCTCTTCTGAAAGGCTTGCCAGGTTATTGGTGCAACCTGATTTTGACTCATTTTCCTAAGCTAAAGGAATATCTATAGGAGAAGGAAATATAGTGGGAGCGGACCCGTCGATTGCTGATCTAAAAGCGGAGATTTGAGTTTTGAATTAAAATCTTATTGAAAAAGATGTTGCGATTAGAAACCTCGATGTACAAGTTTCTGATCTTGAAGAAGAAAATGCTTTAAAATCAAAACAAATCTCCACTCTGCAAGTCAATCTTGGTGCTCTATTGGTTGGATACTTCAACTTAAAGAATAAGCTCATTGTTGAATTTGGTGACAAGTTCAAGACTATAGTTGAAGATCCAAGTGCAACCCAGTCTTCTCAACAATCCCTATCCAATACATCATCTTTTGATCATCCTGATGACCATCTGTTAGTCAGAACCACTACAATCGTTGACCGTTTTGAAACAGATCTGGAGCAAGCCTCGCCAAGAATTACAATTAAAAGAGGTAGGAAACAGGTCACTTCACAGAAAAGAGGAAGGCGGCTCTTCATGAAGAACTCTTATCAAAATCTTCGTGGAGACCAGCCTCAACTAACAGTAACTGAGCTCGACAAGATAAGGTTCAAGCACAAATACAGTAACCGGTCAGGGATTTGTATGTAGGGATTTCATGAAAGACTCAATTGCTGGCTGGTGAAAAGAAAATGTGACAATGTGGAATATTATAGAGAAAAGAATGATTTCTCTTCCCTCACCAAAGTGGATCTCGCTGAGCTTTCCGCAGCTCATTTCTCCAATCATTCCAATGACCCTTGTACAATAGATTTTAAACTCCTCTTAGAAAACCAAGTGAGGAGAGGATTTGATGGGATGAATACCACTGAATCTTTCTTGAAGACAGCTAAAGATGCGTTTGACCCTATCACCAAAAAGTCCTTCAAGAATGTAATATGGCCTCCAACTAAGCAGATGATAAAGATTCCCATTGTTAAGAACTTTTGTGATGGTTCGTTACACAACATGCATTACTGGGTCTACAATGAAGCCACAGCTACCGCCATTATCAAGTTCAAAGATGGTGTCTTTTGTCTCGTTGATAAGAAGGACTTGCTTCAGTTTAGTGAAAAGGATATCCATACTCTTGCTGTACATCAGATCTTATGCGATTAGGAGATTATGGAGGCTGCTGCCAAGGAGTTCATAGGCATGATCTCCGAGATTATTGACAAAAAGATGTGGTTGGGCGCTATGGGGAGGTCAAATGTGTTGGTGATTGAAAAAGACCGAATCTATACTAGCTCAAACCAAGGGGGAGACTGTTAGGTCATATTTTGTTGGTTTGGGCTAGGCATTTAGCTGTATAGGTCTTATTAGGGTTTTGGTCATGTTAAGTGTGTTTGCGGTTGTGCGTACGACTGAGTAGGGATCATGGTCGTTGATGAGTTTAAAACAAACTTGAAGATCGATTAAATCTATGAAACAGGTAAAGAAACAACTTAGATAATCAATTAAGAACAAGTAAATGGATCGAAAGGTGTCGAATGATTTGATAAACAATCCTCAGAAGAGCTCGATAAAGAACATCAACTGTAGAGGATTTTAGGGTTTACAAACAATCAATGAGAATGACGACTCTTACAATACACATACATGCATGCATATATTTATAATACAACCCTAACCATTTTCCTAAGAAAAAGAAGGCTATTCTAGATAAACACGGATTGACAAGCCCAATCCGGCTGTAAAACATAAGGACCCAAGACGCAACACAATAATCTTCAACAATCTCCCCCTTTGCGTCTTTAGCACAGAGCCTTCATTC